TTGACCTGATTGTTTATAGTTCATAATGCGTGATCAAAACCGAAAGTTTCTGTGATGAATGCCCTTGTACTGTTCACCATGTAAGAATTTATTCACTATGTAAGAATTCGTTCACCATGTAAGAACTTGTTCATTATGCTTCAGAAGATTGGAGACCTACGAGAATTAGGCTTGAGACGGATTAATGATTGTACATTGAGCATTGACCCCCCTATACAGAATTTTATTGTTGTTAACAGTCATTTGATCAATAAATATGAGATGCCCTCTTAAAAAATATATATATATATACAGTTGAGCCTATAACAACATGTGTTTGAACTTCACAAGTCCACCTGCATACAAATTTTTTTTCAATATTTACACTGGGAAATTATTTGGAAATCTGACAATTTGAAAAAACATTTTCTTTTCTCTAGCTTATTTTATTGTAAGAATACAGTATATAATACACAACATATAAAATGTGTTAATTGATGGTTTATGTTATTGGTAATGCTTCTGATCAATAGTAGATTACTAAACTTTTGGGGAAGTCAATAATTATACACAGATTTTCAACTTATGGGGGGTTGGCACCCCTAACTCCCTACTTTGTTCAAGGGTCAACTGTATACCAATTTACAGGCCCACTAGCAGTGCATGAAAAGTGTCAGTTCCCCCTCCCTTGCTAACACTGGATATTATCACTTTTTAGAAATGTGTCAGACTGGAAATGTGTATTTCATCAATGCTTTGGTTAAAAAAAACAAAACAAAACAAAACAAAAAACCATGCATTTAATCAAATGCTTATGGTAAAATTACTAAATGGCTTAAATCTTTACTTTTTTATGTGTATGCTAATCAATGACTATAAGCAGAACTGTATTTCAGGATCATTAGGAGACCTCACTCTTCAAAATAATTCCATGATGAGTCATTTATAAAGCAGAGATTTCTTTCATGGTGTAAATAAATCTTCAGTTTATTTTTAGGTCAAAAAAAAATTATTACCCTAATATAACTGGTAAGTGCAAAATCTTTACATAGTGCTTTGCATTTAATGAACATTTAGAAATATTGTTTCACGATCTCATTGTAAAATTTTGGCTTTTCCTATAATAATTTAAGTATATGTTTAAGTCATATTCTTACTTGTTATTCCCCCTACTGCTTTTCATATCATTAAGAAATTTTTGAAAATTTCTTTAAAAAAAAACAAAACAAAAACAAACAAACAAACAAACAAAAAAACCACAAAGAAACACTCCAAGGCAGCCAGGTGAAGGAACCCAATCCAGCTGGTGAAGTTGCACATTAGTATACAGGACCTTCTTTATGGGTATGTTTTTCTAAAACTGTTATGAAAATATCTAGGCAAACAACTCTCCCTTCTTTGTTCCAGAACTCCTTTACAGAAATGCCTTGTAACAGTACTGGAAGCTTTAAGCCAAGAAATTTACCCTCAAGTAAAAGTAAGTTTTAGAAAATTTACATATGTATTATGTATATATACATATACATCAGCACACTTATATATATATATACATTAATAAATGGTGCTGTGGATATTTGATATTTACGGAAGAGTCAATTATTTGGCTGCTGTGGTACTTACTAAAAATGATATTAATTTTAATTCCCTATTTACAAGTAATCCAAGTATTTTTAAAACTTCCTAAAGATTAAGTATAGATGGAGTATCATACAGACATTAAAAAATGATGGCACACAGGTAGGCAAGATGGTTCTAATAAGCATGCCTCCAAAGGAAAGAAAAAAAAATCACAAAAGATTCAGAAATTTGCCCACATAAACATGGAAGAAAGAAAATACAAAAGCAATGTGTGAAAAATCTTATCAATGAAGAAAGCAAAGATAAAATATGATAAACATATTTGCAAACACAACAGATCATAATATACGGACAGTGATTACAAACAAGAAAGAAAATCACATGCACGTCAACAGAAACATAAAGGACATAAACAATTTTATAAAGGAAAGAACCAATAAACATATGTTATAAAAAATCCACTAATAATTTTTAAGATGCAGCTTAATAACTGTAAGATATGGTTTTCACCTATCTGGCTGTCAAATACTAACAACATTAATCAATATTGCTAATTTAGGGTGAGGGAAAGCAGATACTCATCCCCTACGGACAAGGGTAAAAACCAGCACAAGCTGTTTGGAAGGTACTTATATGGTAAGGATCAAAAGCTTTAAAAACATGCATTTATTTTCTCAAAATATTACTTAGGAATACATCCCAATAACATTATCAGTCAAGGACTAAAAATCTTAGTACAGGATAGGTTCAGTGCAGTGTGGTTTTAATAGGGGATCATTTCCATAAATTACAGAATATCCTTATGGTAGAATACTATGCAGGCATTAAACATTGATGCTGGAAAAACAAAGCAGGGGGGATTATGCCTCCCAACTTCAAACTCTACTACAAAGCCACAGTAATCAAGACAATTTGGTACTGGCACAAGAACAGACCCATAAAGCAGTGGAACATAATGGAGTGACTAGATATTAACCCAAGCATATATGGTCAATTAATATTTGATAAAGGAGCCATGGATATACGATGGGGAAATGACAGCCTCTTCAACAGCTGGTGTTGGCAAAACTGGACAGCTATATGCAACAGAATGATACTGGATTACTGTCTAACTTCATAAACAAAAGTAAACTCAAAATGGATCAGACCTGAATATGTCATGAAACCATTCAACTCTTAGAAGAAAACATAGGCAAAAATCTCTTGAATATAAACACAAGCAACTTTTTCATGAGCATATCTCCCTGGGCAAGGGAAACAAAAACAAAAATGAACAAATGAGACTACATCAAATTAAAAAGCTTCTGTACAGCAAAGGACACTACAGTAGAACAAAAAGGCATCCTATAGTATGGGAGAATATATTAATAAATGACATATCCAATAAGGGGTTGACATGCAAAATATATAAAGAGCTCACACAACTCAACAAACAAAAAGCAAATAATCCAATTAAAAAATGGGCAGAGGAGCTGAACAGACACTTCTCCAAAGAAATTCAGATGGCCAACAGGCACATGAAAAGATGCTCCACATCCCTAATCATCAGGGAAATGCAAATTAAAACCACAATGAGATAACACCTCATACCAGTTAGGATGGCCAACATCCAAAAGCCAAGACACACAACAACAAATGCTGGCGAGGATGTGGAGAAAGCGGAACCCTCCTACACTGCTGGTGGAAATGTAAATTAGTTCAACCATTGTGGAAAGCAGTATAGAGGTTCCTCAAAAAATTAAAAATGGAAATACCATTTGACCCGAGAATTCCACTCCTAGAACTTTACCCTAAGAATGCAGGAGGCCAGTCTGAAAAAGACATATGCACCCCTATGTTCATCGCAGCATTATTTACAATAGCCAAGAAATGGAAGTCACCTAAGCGTCCATCGGTAGATGAATGGATGGAGAAGACATGGTACATATACACAACAGAATATTATTCAGCTATAAGGAAAAAACAAATCCTACCATTTGCAACAACATGGATGGAGCTAGAGGGTATTATGCTCAGTGAAATAACCTAGTCAGAGAAAGACAAGTACCAAATGATTTCACTCATCTGTGGAACATAAGAACAAAACAAAAAGCTGAAGGACCAAAACAGCAGCAGACTCACAGAACCCAAGAATGGACTAACAGTTGCCAAAGGGAAAGGGACTGGGGAGGGTGGTTGGGGAGGGAGGAATAAGGGGAATATGGGGCACTACAACTAGCACACAGAACTAAGGCGGGTGGACCGGGGATAGCATGGGGAAGGCAGTATAGCACAGAGAAGACAAGTAGTGACTCTGTAGCATCTTACTACGCTGATGGACAGTGACTATAATGGCGTATGTGATGGGGACGTGATAATGGGGGTAATCTAGTAACCACAATGTTGCTCATGTGATTGTATATTAACGATACCAAAATAAATAAATAAATAAATAAATAAATAAATAAATAAATAAATAAATAAATAAAAAGAAATACCATATGAAAAAAAGAGAAACATTGTATTTGTAAGACTGTATGTATAAAAGTTATGTTATCTTGATATGGATGTATAGAAGAACATCTGGAAGGCTTGGCAACAAAAGGAACAAACACATGGTTAGCAGCAGGCAATAGTGAACGTATTATGAATAATGCTTTTCCCTTTTGCTTATATATATTTTCTTATAGAAAAAACAATTTTTAATAACAATAGTTGTAAGGAACATAGAGGAAAATAACTGTTATAATAACTATACCAAAGAGGAAACAATGTCAGCTACAAACTACAACTGCGCAATGACCTCACTGAAATACCATACTCTACACCACCCAGAAAACAGATCATTACTGTGTTAAAACTGATGGGGTTATGGTTGATTTTGAAATTTTTTTCTTTACCAAATTTCCAATGAATTATCTTTTGTAGTTAAAAGTGGGAAACTTTCCTATAGAAAACTGTCCATCTTTGGTGATGGGGGGAGTCTAGTAAACATAATGTTCCTCATGTAATTGTAGATTAATGATACCAAAATAAAAAACACTGTCCATCTTGCTAAAATGAACATCTAAGAGAAATTGGGCAAAAACACCTCACTCTGAATATTCAGTTATATTCATGTTATCCTGAGTGAGGAACGAAACACACGCAGCTGCACTTAGACCTTTGCCAGCAGAGTTTTCCCGCAGCCAGGAGGACCAGCAAGGAGGATGCCAGCTGGGGTCACCAATCCAAGTGCTTTGAACTGATTCGGGTTACGTACTGGTGCCTGGAAAACAATCCCAACAGCAGTCCGTTACCAATGTCCACTTGATACTGCATAGTCAAATTATCTCCACATGCACCTTTCCAACATCGATCGTGAGGCCTACAGATGATGGCAGTGCCTGTACAATGTGCTTACCCTATCCAAGCACAAGGTATATAGTGATAACCTGAAAATCACTGCTTTTGGAGAATTCATACTTAACGCTGTGAAAATGTTTTAAATGTGAAGTTTAATATTTGATATTAAAATATTTCACCAGTTTAATATCAAAAAATTTTAAACTATCTTAATTACTAGGTTATAAAAATTTTAGACAATGCCCTCCTTTAAGAAATCAGAAGCAGCAGTAATCTGTACAGTCCAAAGCCAAAGATACCTAGTCACTGGAATCTCCATGTAGTTTCTCTTTCAGTAGTTACACACCTAAATGTATCATACATCATAAATGACTATGTAACACGGAAAAGTAAGAGTAAATGGAAATCTATACAAAGTGCCATGGACATAAAAATTGTTTTGGCCCTTCTAAGTGTTCAAAAGGTTCAAAAGGTATTTCTCAAATAGTTTGGTACTGGCTGAAACCAAAACTTAAAAAAAACTCACTGTCACAGAATCCAAGCACCAAACAAAAAGATTAAGTCTAAAACAGATCTCAGAAGAACTAAAAAACCACTGCTGGGGGCTTAGTAATAATACAATAGAACCTATACAACACAGTGATGTCAATTTAGACATACAACCCAGGACACGTGTGTGGGTGTTTATCCATCACATACCAATACCATTCAGCACAGATACACCTACCAATATCGCCATGGTGAGCTCTTCTCTAATATCTTCCAGGGCACCAATATCTGCCCATGTCACATTGGGGACAGTAACAAAACCTTCCCTTTTGGCGGATGGTTGGACTGAGGACAGAGCAACAACAAAATCATTCAATTCAATGCATAGCCCTTGCAGCTGCTCCTCGGAGAGGGGGTCTCGGCTTCTGAGCAACCCCAGAAGCCTCAGCAATTCATCCTTAAAGGGAGTAATTGGAAAAAAAAGAAAACCATGAAGTTTGTTGAAAATGTTACTTTTTGTAGTTTAAAAAATTATTACTGCAATATTTCTGTAGGCTGATGTAAACTTCTGAGTATTGTAGTAATTTTCCCCATTGACGTAAGTTGTTCATTTAACTCTGAATGGATTATTTGATTTGGTCAAGGAAAGGTAAACCGACTATAGACAAATACAGAATGATTTTGTATACTGTACAGAACTATCAACAGCAAACGTAAGCAGTTAGCAAATGTTCATTTAACAACCATGTATTCCCATTTTCATTTATAAATATTCAAGAAGCAGGTGAATTCTGATGAAACTAAAACAAAGTTACTCTGGTGGCAGTATACAGTTGATCCTAAAGGGATTAAGGGTGCTGACTCCTCCACACAGTCAAAAATCTGCATATGACTTTTGACTATCCAAAAATTTAACTACTGATAGCCTACTATTGACGGGAAGCCTTACCAATAACATAAAGTCATTAACAAATATTTTCAGCGTTCTATGTATTTATCATATGCTGTATTCTCACAGTAAAGTCAGCTAGAGAACAGAAATTATTTTTTCAAATCACCACAAAGCTGTAAAAAATTGTCCAATGTTTATTGAAAAAAAAATGCATGTAAATGGACCTGCACAGTTCAAACCTGTCTTATTCAAGGAGCAACTGTAATTTTGTAATATAGTTTTGTACAATCCTTGATCGTTTAATAGCTACACAGAAAGCACACAATTTCTAATCCTATTGAATCCTGAATTTCAAAGGCAGATTTTTTGCTTTGTGAAGAATATGGGACAGGCAAAAAGTAATTCTGAGACACCCAATTTATAAAATCTGAATTTATATGCAGTACTATAAAAGGAATGAGTTAAGATTTTTAACAGATATAACTGTAGTTCTAAATGAGTAAGAAAAAAACAAATGATCTGAAAACAAAGACATGGAGCTAAGTATCTGGTTTGGAAGGTAGAGCCGTGTGGCCTTGAGCAAGTCTTCAACTTAACTCTCTTTGATTACAAAATGGGAAAATAATATTACCTTGACAGTTATATGGGCCAAATATATAATATATAGAAATCCCCTGTGCAAACTATACAATGCTATATAAAGTTACCAAGTTTTCATGACTCACAAAACTAAAAATGTTAAAACTGATCTTGGACTGATCAAAATCCGTGTCATATTCACAGGGCTGTCCTCCAGAGCCATCTGCAGCTAGGGACAAGGCCAGCACTGCACCAGCAGATTACCTCCAGAAGGGAACCAGGAAATGTAACTAAACGTCAATGCTCTAACCTGCTGTACCAGAGCTGGAGAGTAAACACTGCAGGCACAGCAGGCCACATGGCCTCTGCTACAGGGACTCCTATGAAAGCTGCTGTGAGCTGTGGACAGAGCAGACAGGATGAGAAGTGGGCATAACTGTGTTTCCATATGATTTAATTTACAAAAACAGGGAGTGGGAGATGGGTCACAGTCTGTCAATTCTGGCTTTAGAATTACATAATCATTTACTATAAAAGGAATTCACTCAGAATCAACTGAAGAGAATAACTTGTACTTTTGAAATTGTAGACATTCTGGGTGTTACTGGTAATTATTCTCAAGATAAAATGCCAATAAAACAAAATCATAAACCTCAACAATATTAACACTTCTCACATGTAAGATGACACAAACTACAAACATTTAAAGGGCAGGTTAAGACACCCGAAGAGGAAGCACCTGTGTTTTAGAAGCACACTCAGTTCCAACTGTATCTTCCCAGCCTCCTTCAGACAGCAAACCTCCTATCTCAGGATCTTTCTTCTGCTGTCCTGGTAGCCTCATTAAGACCCTGTTGACTGCACACATGGCTGCCTCGCGGCACAGGGCCATAAGATCAGCACCAACAAAGCCTGGTGTTAGGTGTGCTAACTGCCGGAAACAGAAAGGTTCAGGAAGTCTTAATTTCCTGCACAAAGTCTGAAGTATTCTGTAGAAAACAAAGGGGGGAAAAATCAGATTCCTAACCTACTAGTAAAGCGAAATCACTGAATATCTTCATTTGAAGTCCTTCCTCTCTGTCAATGGTACTACAATGGGTATAGTGTAAGATCATCCACTCAAGAAATACTGAACCACTATTACATATCCCACTTTATTCCATTAAGGATTAAGATGTATCTGGTTAGGAACTATAGTAAATGACATGAAAAAATTTTAATGGATTTTTTAAAAAGCATTCTGCCTTTAGGAATTTTACAGTATTACAGAGGAAATAAGTGATTTTTGGTAAGATCTACCTTTAGAGCAGACTAAATGGACATCTACCAGAAATAAAACTGCCACACTTAAACTATTAATTCTGATTACAAGAGTCAAGTCACACATATTTTAGTGTCTATCTTTCATTAGGACAGTCACCTCCCCAACTCTATCTTTGCTTATTTCACCCCCTGTACTATACCTGTGAAAAACTGCTCAACAGGACTAGTGACAGGTTATTTGTCAATGAAATGTGGACTTTCAGATAATTCTCACTAAAGAAACACCTTATACAATTTCTGGTAAGACCTACTGAATGAAACTTAAAAAGTAGCAGAGATATTCAGAATGAAAGGTCTGAGGCCAAACTTGAGTCTGGACACCAGCTCTGCCACTCTCTGTATCACCTGGCCCAGTAACATAACTTCGTGTTTCAGTTTTCTCATCTGCTAAATACATATTGTAACAACACTTATTCATGGAGAGGTTGTCAATGAATACATGCAAATCTCTTAGAATAGTGGCTGACTCACAGTAAGTGCCCAACAAGTGTTAGTTACAATTATTTATATATTGTGATATTATCAACTAATGGTGGACATGGAAATGTATTTTGAAATTTCCAAATTTGTAGGGGAGACTATTATTTTCAAATGTCAAGCAGATGGAGAATAAGTTATAGAAAACTCATTTGGGATTATGTAAGTGAACAGAAGCAGATAAACATTTCTGACAAATGAAAAATAATTTACTCAGGATACTCTAAAAGGAATCAGTAAAAGATTCCATTAAAGCACAACTTCCCAGAGATACATACCCAATTTGCTACAATGCACAGGAACACTAAAAAATCAGAAGACTTTGAAAAACAGTTAACATAAAGTAAATATCCTTTCCTTGGTTATAAGCTGTTCCTAGAAAAAATGTGGTTATTTCTACTCATTATACTATGGGAATTCCACAGGAGAAAATAGCCAGTAAGAGATGTCCAGTTTCACAATGGCAGAGTGAGAGCTCCAGCCACTCTCCTCCAGCTGGACAGGAGACAAGCACAACCTCCACAGCTAAGAAACCAGATTATTTGTACATTCCCCCCAACTCCCAACAATTCTGGAAGGTAACCTTAGAGAGGTTGATTTATTTATTTATGCTGACATGAGATACTGGGGAAACAGGAATTTAGTAGGGTTCTGATGTGTGCATTATCTTAGCACGAACGAAGAGAAAGGTCCCCAACATGGATCTCTCCATGTTGGCTCTAGCTGATGCCCTAAGGACTGTAAACTCCTATAAAGATTCAAATCTTAGAAGTTCCCAGAACAGATGACCCAGGCGTAATAATATTTTTGACTATAAACAGGATTTTAAACTGATTTTTAAAGCATATTTTGGAAGTTTTATATTTACAGAATTACTGAGAAGACAATACAGAGTTCTATATACCCCACACCACTCCACTATTATTAAAGGTAGTTTTGAAGATTATTGGCCCAATATTTTGTAGACTATCCAGCCTGGTATTTTTTATCATGCTTACTCCAGGGTACTCTGTTTTTTGGGAAAAGACCACAGAGGTAAAAAGGGTCATTCTCATCACATCATATGAAGGTGATACACTATGAATACAACTTATCACTACGGATGTGAACCTTGAACATACTGCTTTGAGATCAAGTGTTTGAAAGAGTTTCCACCTTGAAGTTATGCCTCCCCACCTCACTATACTGTACACTGTGGATATAAGTCACAGGGCCTAGCTCACATTTAAGCAGCAGAGGTATGACCTACCTCCATGAGGGCAGTGCATCTACACGAATTATTTGGAATTCTGTACCAGAGTCTTGCCTATTTGCACCCATTTATTTATTCAGTCATTTATTTATATCAGTGTAGACAAACAAATATTTGATTATCTATACTCTTGAATCACAATTTATAAAGTGGTGGATGAAGAATGGCTAATGACCTAGCAGAGGGGACAAAATCAAAATTAGCCTTTTACAAAGAGGCACACTAAGGAGAAGTTAGTGTACTTGTCCAGCGGAACTCCAAAGACCAGGAACTGGAGGCATCAAAGTGCTGGACTTTGAAGTCAGGGCCCTGCAGGAATTATGTGAAACATAGTATGAGAAATATTAAGACCCCCACATTCTCTGACCTTCAACCAGAACACCAGGAAAGTGCTCACTGCAGAAAATGAACAAGAAAGGGAAGTTCCAGATCTGTGGGCAACCGTGAGATCAACACCATCAGGAAAACACATCAAAGTCCATGGACAGTATGTGCAATTCCTCACCTGCCTTCCCCTGCCCTAGCCAGAGACCAGCAGCTAGATGCACAGCCCCATGGTGCCATCTAAAGATCTTTTTCTGAAAAATCCAAATGGAAAGAACAAAAACAATTCACAGAAATTGATCTCTAGAGTTTTCTACCTAAAAAGTCAGCTGGTCATCTGACGGCTTCTCAAAGGCACTCATGCTTGAACAAAGCACATGGACGGCAGGCGTCCAACCAGCCTCACTCTTAAGAATGGACAGCCTTGGACTGCCACTTGAGGAAAGCTGCCAGCATGCAATAATTAAAGTAATAGGTCTCAACTATCAAGACTTACTATATGCCAGGTCCTGTTTTCTGACTGTACACATTGTGTCTCAGTGCCTCTCACCTAATATAACAAACATACACACATGCACAAACAAACGTGGAGGAAACAAAGAATACAAGAAAAGTTGTGAGAGGGTTATCAAATGAGAAAATACGGCAATTATGAACTCCAGAAAAAGTAAAAAGATAAAGAAAGGAAATGTGATCACAATATATGACTTGGGTCAACAGTAAACAATGTTTATATTAAGTATTTGTATTTATATCATCCCAGCGCCAAGGGCAAGGCCGTTAGCTAACAAAAGACAGGAGATATGGACAGACATGCAGAGAAGCTGGGCAGGCAGACGGGTGGCACATAATGAGCCAAGCCCTGCTGCTTGCCACCCCCAGGGTAAGACTCAGCACAGCCCTGCAGCCACATGAGAGACCCTGAGACAGAACCAAGCAGCTGGTGCCTTTCTAAATTCTTTACCCACAGAAGCTGTGAGGGACAATAAAATAATTGTTGTTATAAGCGATTGAATTTTGGGGTGTTCTTTTCTGCAGCAAGAGTAACGAACAATATTAGACTCCTTTTGTGTACACTAGAATTTTCCATAGTAAGATGCTTTTAAAGTATCAATAGCTACCTTTAAAAAACGTTTTCTTTGTGCCAGATGCTGTGCAGCTCTCACAAGGAGCCTTTAAGAGAAAGTATGAGTACTACCTTGCAGGTTGAATACGGTCAGAGAAGAGACTGAAGGCTAGGCTACATGGCACAGCAGGGCAGGGTAAGCTCCCTAGCTGACAGTGTGGTCTGGTCCTGGTTCACTGCCCCTCTAGCCCAGGCCCGCATCTCTGGCCTCTTCCCCATGTTATTCACACACTGGACCTTGTCATCATCTTTATCTGTTCTTCCTCTGAATCACTAGCTCAGAAGCACCTCACTCTCTGCCCACCATCTCCCCACAATTCTGTTCTTGGACCTCACTGGGTTCCTGGGTTCTCCACCACCTTCATCAAATACCCCTATTGTTGCCATATCAAGTCCATGGTCTGTTTTTTTCTATCTTAGTCTAAATTCTAAATCTCTGCTTTCCCCATGCCTGATCCTAGACTGCTGAGCATTACTAGGGGGAAAAGTCACAATACCAGGCCTACTGGTACCTCTGTGCCCCAGTCCTAAACACTGCCTGAAACCTTTCAGCTCCCCTCGCCAGCTGATCTTGAAAGCACCCAAAAAAAAGCCTCTGATGTACCATAAGAGCTCCATGCACCAGGTATCACTTTAATCCAGAGAAGGTGCACTCTATGATCCATATTTCATGCTGGCGAGCCTCCTGCGTCTGCACCCATCCTGCCCTTTAACATCCTCCCAGCTGTATCCCTGAGCCAAGATGGCACCCCACCTACCTCTGTTTCTCACTCCTTTTGCTCCTTCCCACCAACACTAAGAGACTTGACTTCTTCATCTTCTCAAAATCCTCCTTTGTATCCATTATTCACATCATGAGCTACCACCTTCCTCCTCCACAAGCACACCCCCTCCAGGAATTGTACAGATTTTCCCACAGTCTTTTACTTTCCATTTGTTCCTCAGCCATTCCAGCGTGGGTCTCACCTCACTGTTTCAGACAGCTGTGGCCACCATGGCCTCTGGGCTGCTAAGTCCAAGTGCCCTCCTCCTAGCACTCATTAACTGTATCCCTTGGGCTCACATGCTGTACCTCCAGGGCTCCTGATGCTCTTCCATGCCCTTGGCCTATTGGTGTCCTGGAACCTCTGATGTTTGCTCTGTACTGTCATTCTGGACAAGCTCATCTACGTTCCTGACTTCAACAGCCACTGATATACTGATGATGCCCAACTTTCTCTTCCCCAGAGCTCCAGACTCATCTGTCTCCATTGCTAACTTGATTATCTCTACTTGGAAATCCTGTAAGTATCCCTAACTTAACTGACCTTGTCTTCTCCATCCATCCCCAAAATCTCTTCTAAAATCTGCTTGTCCTTCACATTCTCCCTTCAGACAGGATCCTGGTAAAGACCTCTCCCCTTCCCCCTCCCACCGCAGCTCTGCCCCTTTGCAATGGCAGTAGTGTGGCCCTCAGGGAGGAAGAAGCAGTTCCTTACTGTTCACACTGCGTTCCCGGAGCCCTCCTTAGCCAGGACCCCAAGCTGTCCCACTATCCTTCATTGGCCATGCAGAGACCTTAGCCACTGCTCACAAGGCCAAACAGGCACCTAGCCCTTATGCATCAGAGGCTGAAGCGAGTCTTTGGTGCTGTTTGCCTGCTCCCTGATTTCTCAGATCTCTGAACTGTGGGCCACAGCAACAACTCCTGGTTGCTGTGTAAAACCACAGCTCTCTGTTGGCAGCAGGGGAGCACACCAGTTCGGCATAGGAAAAATGCTGTCAGCTAATCCCAGGCTGTTAGGACACCAGGTCTGCAGGGCAGTGGGCACCTTCACTAAGAGCCAGAGAAACCTGACAGAGAATGGGTGAGAACAGGTAAGCAAGTTAACTCATTAGGATGCCTTTCCTCCTAGAGCTGAGAATGGGTCCACTCCCAGTGTCCTCTAGCCTGTCTCTGTAGCTACTGTTGTGGATGCGAAAAGAATGCGGAGGAAAGTACACAGCAGGTGGGTGGGCAAGGTAGGCCGGGTAGCCCCCTGCTCCTCTGACCCCTGCCCACGGGCACAGCCACTAACAAGTAGAGAGCAGCCTGCAAAGGCAGTGGGGTGCCAAGGGGTAAACAGACCACTCGTGGACCTCAGGAACCGAGACACCAGGGATCTAAGCATCTTAGTCACAGATAGCACAGGTGACCTCTGCAGACCAGTTGACACCTGGTCCTTGCAAAGGGCTTTTCTGAGCAGCACTGGTCACATGCTTCTGGGCAGCTGCTGCTTAAGGGCTTGGGAACCAAGATCAGAAAGGGGCTCCAACTGTGCCCCCAGCTCCACGGACAGGAGAACCAGAGCCCGGGGGCTAAGGTGGCCAATGCGAGCCAGCACATAAACACAGGTTGGCAAGCAGCAGAAGCCCCCTCCTTAGCCCCTTCCCACTCCTGCTCAAGCCAGGAGGGCTGCACAGTCATCAGACAACTGACTTCTCTGGCTTCCAGTACAGGCACACCTAGTTTTGTTGCATTTCACTTAGGAAATGCCTACAAATTGAAACACTGCTTTGAGCATGACTACTGGCACCATTTTTCTAACACATCTGCTCATTGTTTCTCTATCACATTTTGGTAATTCTCATAATATTTGACATTTTTTCATTACCACTATGTTTGTTATGGTGATCTCTGATCAGTGATCTTTAATATTACTATTGCAATTGTTTGGGGGTGCCACGAACCACAGCCATACAAGACAGTGAACTTAATTGATAAACGTGGTATATGTTCCGACTGCTCCACCAACTGGCCATTCCCCAGTCTCTTTTCTCTGTGGGCCTCCTCTTCCATGAGACATAACAACACTTAAATTAGGCCTGTTAACAACCGTTAACAGGTGTTCAAGTGAAAGGAAAAGTCACACATTCTCACTTCACATCAAATGCTAAAAACGATTAAGATCAAATGCTAAAAACGATTAAGCTCCGTGAAGAAGTGTGTTGGAAGCTGAGACATGCTGAATGCTAGGCCTCTTGCACCAGCTGGCCAAGCTGTGAATGCGAAGGAAGTTAGGGTGAAGGAATGAACATGAAGCAGCCTTATTGCTGATATGGAGAAAAGTTCTAGTAGTCTGGACAGAAGATGAAACCAGCCACAATCTTATCCAGAGCAAGGCCCTGACTCTCTTCAATTCCCTGAGGCAAAAGAAGCTGCAGAGGAAAAGTCTGAAGCTGGCAGAGGCTGGTTCATGAAGTTTAAGGAAGGATGCCATCTCCATAACATAAAAGTGCACGTGAAGCAGCAAGTGCTGATGGAGAGGCTGCAGCAAGTTATCCAAAAGAGCCAGCTGTGATTGTTGAAGGTGGATGCACTGAACCACAGATTTTCAGTGTAGATGAAATGGCTTTCCACTGGAAGAAGATGCCGTCTAGGACTCTCATAGCTGGAGAGAAGTCAACACCTGGCTGCCAAGCTTCAAAGGACAGGCTGACTCTCTTGTTTGGGGATAACGCAGGAGGTGACTTTAGGTTGAAGCCAGTGCTCACTGACTACTCCACAAGTTCTACGGCCCTTAAGGATTATGCTAAATCTGCTTGTGCACTAGAAATGGAACAACAAAGTCTGGATGACAGCACATCTGTTTACAACATGTTTTACTAAGTATTTTAAGCCCACTACTGAGACCTACTGCTCAGGAAAAGATTTCTTTTATAAAATGACTGCTCTTCAACAATACATGCAGTCAGCTAAGAGCTCTGATGAGGATGGACAGTAAGATTAATGTTGTTTTCATGCCTGCTAACATAGCATCCATTCTGCAGTCCAGGGATCATGCAGTCATTTCGACCTTCAAGTCCTGTAACTGAAGAAATACATTTTATAAGGCTACAGCTGCCATAGACAGTGATTCCTCTGATGGATCTGGGCAAACCTTCTGGAAAGGACTCACCATTCCAGATGCCCTTAAGAACATTCCTGATTCACAGGAAAAGGTCAAATATCAACACTAACAGAAGTTTGGAAGCTGATTCCAACCCTCAGGGGTGACTTTGAGGGATTCAAGACCTCAGTGGAGGAATTAACTGCATGTGTGGTAGGAAGAGCAAGCAAACTAGAATCAGAAGTGGAGCCTGAAGATGTGACTGAACTGCTGCACCTCAGGATCAAACCTCAGTGGATGAGGAACTGTTTCCTGTGGACAAGTAAAGAAAGTGGTTTCTTGAGATGGAACGCACTCCTGGTGAAGATACTGTGACAACTGTGGAAAGGACAACAAAGGATTTAGAAATATGACATAAACTTAGTTGATAAAGCAGTGGCAGGGCCTGAGAGAACTGACTCCAATTTTGAAAGTTCTCCTATGAGTAGATGTTATCAAACAGCATCATATGCTACAGAGAATTTGCTCATGAAAGGAAAAGTCAATGGATGTGGCAAACTTCAATCTTCTTTTTATAACAAATTGCCACAGCAACACCGACCTTCAGCAACCACCCATATCAGCCAACAGCCACCAACACTGAGGCAAGACCCTCCACCAGCAACAAGATTATGACTTCACTTAAAGCTCAGATTAGCATTTTTAGCAGCAGAGTATTTTTAAATTAAGGTATGTACATGTTTTCAGACCTAATTCTACCCCACACTTAACAGCATAACCAAAACTCTTACATGCACTGGGAAACCTATAAATTCAACTGACTTGCTTTATAGTGAACTTTGAAGTGGTCTGGCAGTAAATCCACAGTATCTTCAAGGTAGGCCTGCGCTCAGATTTAACTTACACATGGTCCAGAGAGCACTGCTCTATTCCATAGCTCTAGACACTGTCCCTAATTTGGTCAGCTAATGAAAAAACTCAAACCACTGTTAAAAAGACCAGACAAACAAATACTGGTACGTAAGTCCATTATCACTAATGAAAAAACAGACTCAATTTTCTATTGATGAGTAAATTATTTTCTTAAGCATTAATTTAATGCAGGCTTTTTCCATTCCAAATTAATTCACTGGCATGAAAGAAAAAAAAAAGACAAAAGGCTACATGGTATTTCTAACTCCTCGTTTTCAAAGCATTCAGTTCAGATGACATACTGGCATACAAACTTCATTTTATAAAGGTATATACCTTTCCCTGGATGCTTCATCTGGGATACCAAGACATATTTCACGGTCGAACCTCCCTGCACGTCTCAAAGCAGGGTCGAGCGAGTCTGGTCGGTTAGTAGCTCCAATGATTAGCACCTGAGCTGTAGTGGCCACATTATTCAGATCTAGTAAGAACGAGACACAGGGTGAGAGGTATACAGACGCTTGACATTGAGGACAATAATGGTTACCCAAGCCATTTAAGTGGTTAAAGTATTACACATTTTGACAGCAATATATATAAAATTCACATTTACTACACGTCTAATTAGTGAAAGATAGGATGATGATACACGGGAATTTTGTCCTCAGGCAGCTCCCAATCTACTGAGAAATCCATAGGACAAATTTTGACAAATGGAATAGGTATAAACTAGGACCATTTGCCATATTATGAATTTGGATTGAGAAAAAGAGAGTTGGTAGAGGAGGTAACATTCTGGAAAAGCCTTAAAGGGTGAATAGGATACTAATAAGCAGAGACATAGTGAATGAAATTCTACAAGGAATAAATGGTGAGTGAAGGAAAGAGGCACCAACAGGTGTGGCATGCTTACTATACCAGGTGAGCAGTCCCAGAGCAAGGAGGCTGGGTGGGACTCACGGTCTATGTCTGAAAAGAGACTGATGGCATTAATGCGAGACAGGGACACACTATAGTCTTCAGTTGCTCTGGCTTAATCTAGAGACAGATTTTTTAGGAATGGACAGAACCAAGGGCCTAAAGGATATCTTTTCTTATTATTTCTCTCAAATGAATGAGGACTGAAAAGCAGGGACTCTGAGGTTACAGGCCTTCACAGGTAGTACGAAGGTAAGACACTAAGTACTTGAACAGCCAAATCAGGAGTTTATGGAATATTCTTTAGCCAACAGGAAGCCATGAAAGGTTTTATTGATAAGATGTGTCTCAGACAATTCTAAAATTCTCATTTCCAACAGAGTAATAAGAGAAAAAAGGGAAGAGTGTGCTGTGATTTGATTACAATAATCAGGTGAGAAGTAAGTGAGGTAAGGCAGGAATGTAGTAAAAAAAAAAAAAGGAAAGGCCGTATTTAAGTACAACATTGTAGATGGGATCAAACACTAAGCAAATGTCCAAATGTGAAAGGTCAGAAAGAAGGAAGAGACAGGGGTGGCCAGGTTGGGCGAGGCTGTAAAGCATGGGACACAGAAAGAGCTGAAGGAGGCAGGGCAGCTACCAGGAGAGCACGTGGGCTTTGGACACACCAAGCATGGGGTGTGCAAGTATCTGGCAGGCACTTGGGAATGTGGGCTTGAAGCTTATTAGAAATCATGGTGAGATGTAATTTGAGAATTTCTCTTTGAAGAACTGAGCAGGAGACAAAGGGAAATGGGTAGAAAGCGAGAAGAAAAGATCCAGTGTAAAACCGTACAGAATGTCTTTATTTAAGTAATGGTAAAATGAGGCAAGTAGTACAGGAAATTGCTGAGGAGCTGTCAGAGATCCAGGACGGGAAGAGCAGTGCTGCCCAAGCCAAGTGAGCTCACGTGGGCACTCAGGCCAAGGGGGAGACAGCAGCAAGGCCCTACTTCAGGCCCCCACTTTCTCAGGCACCCCCACCACAATGAGGAAAGAGGAAACTGAAGAACAGAGGCTTAGACGGAGAGGATGAAAGCCAGCTCAGAGGCGTGCACGTACCACCAGCCATGCAGCTCCTACGGTTACTTCCAGTGCAAAGGTGGAGCTGGATGTGCACTAAGGGGTGGGGTATAGGACAGAATGGAAGCAGAAACATTTCCTTAGCTGACAGAGGCTGTTAATTCTAATAAATTTCCGGCTGAAAAGAATAGAGCATAAGGTAGTAGCTCTGGGTGAGACTGGAAAGCTCTTCAATACCTCTGGCAAACTGAGTAAAAGCAATCAGCCAAAGAGGCCCAGCTTTAAGATGACTGAATAAGCAAAGAACGGGAAACAGGTTAACACCTCCCAATTCAGGTGGCATCAGGAGCCACACATCTGCATTCACACAGGACTATCGTACACCAAGTCCCCCTGTACTAAGGCTGGCATAGAGCCAAGCTGTTCTGCTGACTTGTGCACATTTTACATTTCACAAGGAATGACTGACAGTAGGAATTTGCTTCCCTTTTCTAGTTCGTGTTGCTCAGATACCACTCTTCATGGTATACTCTGAGCGTATCATGGGTTAATAACAGATTTCAAAAAGAACAATCATGGAAATCTTACATCTTCGGTAATGAAAAAATCCTTTCACAGGAAATCCATATTTAGCAACACAAGTACCATTTCAAATGCTACTTTTCCCCTTCTTTGTTCTGAATGAAGTCATATGAAAGATAAAAATCAGACCTCAGCTAGCACTGGCCACCCACTGCCAAGATAAATCCCACTCTTTTTCTCCCTCTTTTAGAATATGATTCAATCAAGTCAAATTGAATTTACATTAGCCGAAAGTTTGAACTTCAGATTATAAAATAAAAGAAGTAAAGTTTTATTTATTTCTACATAGCATGAAAAGGAACTAGTTAATGTATTTCTGGGAATAATAGCTCTTACACATAAAGGAAGCATTTGTGGGTAGCTCATTAGCTGCACATGTGTAAATAAGCATCTAGCCTGTGCTTTGCCAATGACTCACTGTGTGAACTTGGCCCTTCACTGTTCGGGCATCAGCTTCCTCATGTACACACAAAACGATGTTTTAAAATCCTTTCCAGCTCTTAGTAAAGTATACCTGAGTTTTAAGTTTTTGAAATTAGGTAAAATTAGTTCTATTAAGTGGTCTCGTTATCTTGTTCGTATTAATTTACTTAAAAGCTTTAAATCATTAATATTTCAAATTTTTAAGTCTGAACTAATAAGGTTTTACTAAATTCTCAAACTGTAGGGAAGAAACAACCACATGGGGCAGGCTATTTTGGGGGATGACTGTAAGTTGAATTGTTTACTGTCCTATTTTGGTTCCTAAAAAGGGAACCTTAAAACCCACACTGAGATACACATCAAAAATCTGCTTACTCTTTGTAAGCACCTTTTAATCTCTCTGAAATCAGAATGCTTCTACTATCTTTATGGTAACATTGTGTCACAGTTTGATTGGTAGTGTCCTTTTTCCTCCTTAGAGGTACATAAAATAATGGTATACCTTGTAAATGATAACAATTTAGCTACCATAAAATATGGTAATTGAGAACATAGGCCTCAAAACACTGCAAGAAAATTTTAGATAAAAATAAAACTGCAGAATAAGCAACCTACAACCTAGCACAAGGAACACAACATAGGCACTACTTCAATCTTCTTGTGCACAAAAACACTCTTTGACAGTAGTTCCAAAAGTTCTACTTGTTCTGATTCCAATTTTCCTCCACATTTGTATCTAAAAACCATTAAAAGCAAGTTAAAGACGAGGAAAGAACTGCAATATATTTAAACAAAGGGTCTGTTTCTATAATATATTAAAATATGTTTCTTCAAATCAATTTTTAAAAAATAATTCAATAGAATAATGGGCAAAGGATGAGAAAAGGCATTTTGAATATGATACAAATAGCCGAAGAAATACGGAAAGATGATCAACCTCAATGGTAATCAGGAAATGCAAATTAAAATGGATATCAATTTTTACCCATAAGACTGACAAAATTTAAAACCACAGATAACATTCAGTATTGTGAAGGATCTGGAAAAAGGGTGACTCTCATACAGTATTGGTAGTAAAGTAAATTGCAAAGTACTTTTGGAAGGCAATTGGCCATTTCCCATGAAAATTTAAAATACGTGATCTTTAACCATCAGTTCTATTTTTAGTATTAATCCTAGAAAAATACATGGGCACCAAAAAGGCTCATTTAAGGATATTCCCTTCAGCTTGTTGTAAAGCAAAAAACAAAATGAGAATGCTTAAGTACAATATGATAAATCTATCCTAAAGAATATAATGCAAAAGTTAAAAAGAGGTAAATATAATTAAAATGGCAACATTTCCAAGACATAGTATTAAGATACAAAGAGCAAGTTACAGAAAAATGTTATTGTAAAAGGCAAAACAATACACATTCATGTGTATTAAATGCATTAAAAATTATAAGATATACTCCAAAAAGTAAATGAGTAAATTGTCATATTTGAAAAAAAATTTTTGAAAAAAAAAAAAGATTAGCTTTTTACTGAGTTTTATTGTATTTGAATGTTTTATATCCTCACAGGTTACTCACACTACTGAAAAAAAAAATTTGTCTTAAAGCAAATTCATTATTTTAAACTGACCATCCATGCAGGTTAGGAGCTGGGCTACAATTCTTCGTTCCATATCTTTTGAAGCAACTTCTCTTCTGGGAGTAATAGCATCAATTTCATCAATAAAAAGGATACAGGGTGCATTTGACTAGAAGTAGGAATATCACAAAAAGACAATCATAAATATATTCCCTACAGTGTAGCATAGTTAAGTTTATACATTTTTAAAAACCTTAAAGTTCAAGAATCATTTACCAAAAGAATAACCCTAAAGAATTAGGTAGTGCACAGCATATTACTTGGAATTTTTATCAGATTTAAGAGAAGCAAGATGCTTAAAAGAGGACAGTAAGAGACCACATATAGGATAACACATTCATCATCTTCCCATCAATCCATGTTCTGTGATGAAAGTCTATTGAAATTCGTAAATTAGGCATTATTTGCTATGCTCTGAAATATAAAGTTAAATCCATAAACTTTTAAGTAGAAAACCTAAGCTTATTACAAATGTTAGATGAGTGTTGCTACTGACATAAAAATATCCAAGCTTTTCTTTAAAATCTGCTATGAGAGAGATTTAAGAAGCACTACAGGCACTGTTTTTATTTTTTTGTTGTGGTAAAATATTTACCACTTTAAACTCTATAGCATCTTACTATACTAATGGACAGCGATTAAAGTGGGGTAGGGGGGTGGTGAGGACTTGATAATATGGGTGAATGTTGAAACTGTGTTGCTCATGTGAAACCTTTGTAAGATTGTCTATCAGTGATACCTTAATTAAAACAAAAATTTACCATATTAAGCCTAGTTTATTGTAATTAAATACATTCACATTGTTGTGCAACCATTTTCATCATCCTATACCGAGCGTGTTGGAGGCTTATTCTGAAGACCATACTGAAGAAGGGAGAACAGTAAAGTCCCAATACAGCAGTATAGATAATGATCACCTTTGGTCTTTTTTTAAACAGAAGCTGGATATAGTTGAGACAGAATAAGTAAGACAGAATAAGTTAAGACAAGAGTATAAGCATCAACCACCTGGAATAGTGAAATTCATAGGGCAGAAAGTATAACATTGAGTGCCAGAGGCTAGATGGAGGGGAAAATGGGGAGCTAGCGGTTAATGGGGACAGAGTTTCAGGTGAGAAGATGGGAAGTTCTGGAGATGGATGGGGGTGATGGTCACACAATATTAGCGCACTTAATGGCAAAGAACCATACTCTTAAAAATGTTTAGAATGGTAAATTTAAGTTAAAAATACTCTACTGTAAAACATAATGATAAGAGATAAGCATTAGTTGAAATGAAAAATTCTAATAAATTTAAAAAATCTAAAGCACAGTTCATGCTTAGTTTATCATGAGCTACACTGGTGATGCTAAGAGTCACACTCAGCCTGGCTAAAAAGATCCCAAAGCCATGGGGACCAATGTCAATTTAAAGGAAAAGAAACCAGGCCCATCACTAGATGGCTCTGTCCCAGTCCTCCTCATGACTGTTTGGTACCTATGACTGCTAGACAAATTAACCAGGTACAAAAGAGAAACTTAGAGAGCAAAGTCTCAGAAAGCAAGCAAATAGTATCTGTCAATGAGTTGGAGACCGAATGAGAAAAAAAGAGTAAGTGATGGTCATCGGAATTTAACCTAAAGAAAGCATACAGTTTTCAACACAGAACCATTTGATGTGATATGACATTTTGTTCACTGATACACAGACTTTTCTATACTCACTTTCATTAGGGGGACACAGAGGTCTGGGAAAGAGGGGGTTAGCCTATGTATTTACTGGGCACCTACAGTCAGGCATCTCACCAGCCCAGTACTGGCTCAAGATGTCAACACCAAACTAACAGCATAAAGATGTCATTTGTCTCTTTTCCCATTCATTATTGTGTTTACCATTAGCACAAAACACACTACTTGTTTTCTGGCTGGGCATGCCAGTTTCAGAAGTAAATTGAGCTCATTCTGGAAAACAGGCAACACCTGCAAGTTCCAGCTCTGCTCTGCACAGCACCCTTCCTGCCCTTGCTCTGCATTTTCCTGTACTGCCCAAACCTTTTTCAGTGTCACTCTACAAACCACACCATGTAGATTGGCTCTTACATTCTTGCTTTGGCCACAAATGTCATCTTCCTGAGAAGTTCTTAAACACCCAAATATTAATAACATGGATTATAGTTAGGATAAAATCCAACAATCTCTTTGGTAACAGAATTTTCACAACTTCAATTAAGCAAACAGGTAAGAGTTTATCTTGGCATTTCTATGGTTGCTTTTGTAATGTGATAATCCTAAATTTTAAAAACATTCACATTGCTTTCAAGGTGTCTGTTGAAACCTAAGATGAGGAAAGAAGCAAAAGAAAGTTATCAAGAATAATCTAATCTATGTTTGACACATGACTACTGGGTACAACGGCCCAGAGCTTCTCACCAATTATACTTACATTTGCAGATTAAACACTATTTCAACCAACAGTCTGTATCAGTAAATCTACTTTAAACACTGAATTAGCATAGGTGGCCAGTGAATGGGTTAATGAATGAGTTAACAAACACCAGCATCAGAGAAGATGGGATGTCCAACGCGGCCTTCTACAATCTGACAATGTGACATCAGGGTCATTAAACGACTCACCATGGCTTGTTCAAACAGTTCTCTCAACTTCTGTTCAGACTCTCCAGATACTCCAGATACAATTTCTGTAGCAGCCACTTTTAGAATTGGAAGGTCAAGTTCCTAGGCACATACATAAAAAGAATGAGCAGATTTTCAAATTTTAACTTCCTAACTTTTCCTCTAGTCAGTTCCTATCTCAAAATTACATTTTTAAAATGACTAATTTTCTAAGACTCTTGTGTTGGTCCAATGCAAAGCACTATTAAAAACCTAGTTTCATGCAAACATAAAGAGAAGTAACTAAAAAGAAAATGAAGTGTTAAAAGAAGGGTTTACAGCTCTAATATTTTGCCATATAAATAGTTAAAAAAAATAGCATCTCAGAAATAGCATGAGAGGTAAAAAAAAAAATGAAGGGAGCAGTCTTGCCAGGTCTGAGTCAAACTGACAACAGAGAAATAGAACAAAAACAAACAAAAAGTAACAGAATCAAATGAGCGTCAGAAAACCTCACCCCAGCAATTGCATGTGCAAGTAGCGTCTTCCCACAGCCTGGTGGTCCATGAAGGAGAACCCCACAGGGGGGTACAACACCCAGGTGGTGGTATACCTCTGGGTGACGCATGTGTATGAGCATCTTGCAGACTTCCTAGCAGGGAGTAAACAGGAAAGTTGTCTTTCACAGCCCCAGAGAGAATGAATCAATGTGAAATGAAATGTCTTATTCTTTGAAGCAGCAAAATTATAGCAGGAGGGCACAGGCAGACTTCCATCTATTTGCCCCAGTTCTGGTACTTCTTGTGTGACTTCAGGAATGACCTAAGCTTCCATCCCCTCAGCTGTCACAGTATCTGCCTTGCAGATATAATGAAAAGTAACTAGCATGATAATTGGAACAGAGTGGACACTAAAAAATAAATAGTAACCACCATTATTACTACTGTTAGATAATATTACTTACAAAGCATGTATCTTACATAATTAAACGGTACAAGTCAGGTTTGCCCTTTGCCCCTTCCCAGTCTCCTTTTTTACACCCACTTCCTATTAGAAACAGAGGTCTGCACTGTTTGCAAAACTGATTAGCAATGTATGCACCTAAGGTAAAACTCTGAACTTGAACTAACTTTTAATGTTGTATCATTGCCTCCAATATCTTCAAACTTCACATTGGAGATCTGCAATTCTAGCCCCCTTGCTTTAGCTGGTAAACAGAAAGGAGAAAGTGAAAAGATTAGTGACTCAGTAGTAACTCATATTTAATAATCTTTAGGTAAACAGAGATCCATTAGATACTGAAATCTTTTCTAACAAATGTTTCTGCACATACAGCCTGGAAAAGTGATGCTTCTCAGAGCATACAATCACCCATCCCACCATGTGCTTCACCTTTCATTGCAGGCCAAGTTCAATTTCTCCATCAACTTCCTGAACCACCCACCCCACAATGTACCTCACCTTTCTTTCGCAGGGCAGCTTCAGTTTCTCCATCAACTTCCTGAGTATCTTTCTTCCTTTTGCTTCCTGTGCTCTTGAGCCTGCCTTTCCTTTTTTTATTACTCTTCAGAAGAGAAGAACCTTTTGAATCCTGGAAAGAAAAGACATTTAAATATGCCATGCTTGAAGTTATAATGCCAATGTTTTCTTAAATATGGGTATTTGCTAAAATAATCCATGCCTGCCCTACCCTAGGTCAGCTTTCCCAGCCTGTCTGTTCAAGGATGATCCATGGGGATGTCCTTCTCCACAGCCTTAAAGCTCATTTCATATACTAACCCCTGAAAACCTCTTTTCCAGACTCTTCTAGTTAGAATTAATCTCTTCCTCACATTCACACGACACTGAATTGGTAACTGCATTATAGCTTACTACTGGTAGTTGAGTGATTCACCTAAGTTTCTCTCACTGAATGGAGAGCTTCTGGAGTGAGGACACCTCCTTCATCTTTTATTTCTCACTGAGGCTTTTACACAGTTGGTGTTCATTTGATGTCACTAAATTAAATATGACTACAGAGCTGCTTTGACAGCCATAAAAAAGCATAAAGTATATAGCTGACCCTTGAACAGCATGGTTTGAACTATGTAAGTCCACTCAGATACAAATTTTTTTTAAATAAATATACCAGGAAATTTTTTGGAGATCTGCATCAAGTTTGAAAACATTTTCCACTCTCTAGCTTACTGTAATAATACATTATACAATATATATAACACACAAAACAGGTGTTAATCCATCATTTATGTTATCAATAAACCTTCCAGTAGGCTATCAGCAGTTAAGTTTTTGGGGAGTCAAAAGTTAAACACAACTTTCTGAAGGCAAAGGGGTCAGCACCCCTAGCCCCTGTATTGTTAAAGGGTCAACTATCGTTCAGCCTAAGAATAAAGCTCTTTCCTGACCTTGCCAACCATAATAATGTTCTCTAAACATTAGATTAATGATTAAATAAAGGAAAGAGATTTGGAAAAGGCCCATTAGTAATTCAAATGGGGCAAGGTTTTGCCAAATCAAAAGGCTCGGTTCTTAGAGCAGTTGTCCAGGAATTTAATGTGAGCCACATATTAACTTTATATATGCTGGTAGCCACATTTAAAAAGGGAAAAAAGGAACAACTGAAATTAGCCATCTATTTTACTTAACCAAATATATTCAAAATGTAATCATCTCAACATACAGTTGGTATTAAAAAATTTGACATGTCTATACTGATTTTTATAAGAAGACTTCAAACCCACTGTGCACAGTATGCTTATAACACATCTCAATTCAGACATGACATTTTCATGGGTGATACCTGATTTAGATTTAGATTTCATAAAATTTATAGCTAAAAAAGTAGATACCCAGGTTGCTCCAAGCAGATTTAGAAGTTTTCTAAGAACTGAACTATTTTTGAATTTAAATTTAAATCAAAACTTAAGTTCTCAGTTCTACAAGCACATTTCAAGTGCTCATCAGCTACATGTGGCTGGCACTCATCACACTGGATAGTAAGCCCTAAGCACTGTCAGCTACTCCATGCTGGGATAGATTACTTAAACCCCTCTTGTTCTGCCAGGTATTGAAAACAATCAGTTGAGAATGGTGCCCAATGCATTCACTTGGAGCTTTCTCATCAAGCTTTAGTTTTCTCTAAGTATGGTATACTTCAATTTAAAAAGGTAAAAAATAAAAGGGGGGGAACTAATTATTCTGTACACTTAAAAAAAAACTGAGGTATCATTGGTATACAATCTTATGAAGGTTTCACATGAGCAACAATGTGGTTTCAACTATTCTATAGACTTTAATAATGCCATTTATGTAGGATCCTTCACAGCATTATCCCAAACTTTAAACAAACCACATTGCTGTTTTAGCAGCTGCATTACCTTCTTCCTACAACTATCAACTTTCTTTAACATATACCCAGAGTGGTTATTCTTTAACTCTGACTAGTAAATGCATCTCATTTGATAGTTCATCAAAAAACTGACCACCACATAGACAGGCACAGATTAAACAAAGTCCCTGCTCTCCTGGAGACTGAGAGAGCATCCAGTCAAGACAGACAAAGAAAAATCCCAACTAAATAATTATACCAGTGGTTTTAAGTGCTTTCTAAAAAAGTGAAGCCATTAGAGGGTTTTTAATACAAGAATGACAATAACCTGACTGACTCTGTAAATAAGGTCTCTCTCTGTGAAGAATAACCTAGGGAACAAGAACAGAGTCTGACCCTCAACTGGAAGATATTTCAATAGTTAAGGCAAGAGAGAGTACAAGCTTAGAATAAGATGGAAAATGGTGGTAGTGGGAAGTGATCAAGTTCTATGTGTACTTCAGAGTTCCAATTCTTTTATAAAACACGAGAATCTGCTTACTATAACATTCAATGAAAAGGTTAGATCATCTTCCAACATCGTAGGGCTAATCTCTCACTACAAAATACATCTACCTGAGATACTGGCTTCTTACGATTACTTTTCTCATCTGGTAGTTCCATGAAAAAACCGTCTTTCTTTCCACTTGGAGTTTTGTCAATAAACCATCCTCCTTCAGAACCTGTGATAGGGATCTTCAAAGGAATGGAGCCTGTTTTGGAAGTTATCCGTGGTGCTGAAATGGCGGTTTCTCTTTGCTCCATCTCAGGAGTACTTGATACAGCATCAGGATTTCCTTTCCGATATAAGGAGAGCAGGGAACTGTTCATGTGATTTGCTGACTGGCAGAAACATGATTTTAGCAGGAATCACTCAACAGGTCCTCACAATAGTTTATTACTCACATCAGTAAGTCTGTACATTTCACTGTCAACACTTTCTCTATTGTCATAAAATATAGGTGTTCACCATACAACAATTCACAAAGAAACATTTACTATTCAAAAAGATGTATCTCCCTCCACTCTAAGTTAATACACCAATTCATAATTGGCAGTTAAATAAAGCCAAGTGAGTATGATCGTGTTAAAAAAAAAATAACAGAAGCAAGTATGAAAATGAGCTGCTGCTAATGAGTCACTACTATCTCATCAATTCAAAATGGGATCAAATTTAACTCAGTATCATCATGACTTTGCAATAAATTCAAAAACTGAATTATCAATGGGGAAAAAATAAAGCAAGTTATAAAAAATTTGACATATTATTCCCATACTTACTTTTAATCTAAGCCTATTCATTGGCAATGTCAGCTCTTCGGACAACACAATTCAGCTCATAACACTGCTCCTCTTGCTCCCTTTTTTACCTTTTACTATTAATTCCCCTTTCCATTCCTGTCTGCCCTTATTTCTGGCCATTTTCTTCCCTTCCTTTTCCAGTATAATAGGTTATCAACACAAATACTGGAAGGATGGCTAACTTAAGAGGTCATCAACACAGTATACAGGAAATACTCAATTATTTACTAATGAAAATATATTCAACATCTCTTATTCTATTGAACACTGATTTTTTTTTCTAATGAGGGTCCAAAATGATGAAAAATCAAAGTAGGTCCATTAAATATTTGGCTTACCTGTGGATCTGGGTAATCTTCCATATTAGATTCATCATCTGAATAGTTTCCAATATACCTCAGTAAAAAGAAGAAAAAGACTTTAAAGGTTTTCTCCCCCTAAAAAAATTACCACCCAATATTATGCTCAGTGAAATAAGCCAGGTGGAGAAAGACAAGTACCAAATGATTTCACTCATATGTGGAGTATAAGAACAAAGAAAAAACTGAAGGAACAAAACAGCAGCAGAATCACAGAACCCAAGAATGGACTAACAGTTATCAAAGGGAAAGGGACTGGGGAGAACGGATGCGAAGGGAGGGATAAGGAAGGGGGCGGGGGCATTATGATTAGCATGTATAATGGAGGGGAGGCACAGGGAAGGCTGTGCAACACAGAGAAGACAAGTAGTGATTCTACAGCATCTTACTATGCTGATGGACAGTGACTGTAATGGGGTTTGTGGGTCAACTTGGTGTAAAGGGGACTTGGTGATGGGGGGAGTCTGGTAAACATAATATTCCTCATGTAATTGCAGATTGATGATACCAAAAAAAAAAAAAAAAATTACCACCCAAAACAAGAAAATGTACTGAGGCAAAATATTATGGGGGTTAAGAGTTCAGGCTTTGGAATCAGAGAAATCTGGACTGAAAATCCACCTTTACCAGTTAGTAGCTTCTGCTTAACTTTTCTGGGCCTCAGCTTCCTTATGTACAAAATGGACTTGATAAATAATGTCTATCTCATTGGGTTATTAGAGATTTAAATGAAAGCTTGCAGAGTCCTCAGCACAGAGTAAATGTTTAATAATTTGTGGTTATCTTGATCCTAACAATGAATAAATAAATTCCCATCAGATGCAAGGGTCTCATTTCCAAGTATTAGATGCCAGTAAAGGAAAAATTCCAGGAAGCCACAATTAAGCACCTTGAGTAACAAATCACACATTCACAATGATCAGGCCATGTGGACAAATATAACTTTTCTAGGGCTCTTCATGAGGAATGCAAGTACTTTTGAGTTTCATGTAATACAGCAAAAAACCAAGTATAAATCCTACTAATTACAAACTGAAAATGTAGTCTCAGTTCATTATAACCAAGATTTGTATCTAATAGCTTCAAGTAACTACAGTACTCTGGTACTACTTCTTCAGAAAATAATTAATAAGAAAAGCACTTTACCTATGTAAAAATATTTACATAAATGCTATGATCCCCCATTATAATTAAGATATGAATTATTTCATTATTCATCAAATTCAATTACTATGACTCGGGGCATTTCTAATCAATGTAAAAAAGGCTGAATATTCAACTACTTGGAAAAAAACTGCTTTGCCCAACAAACAAAATTAACTACAAGTGAATTAAAGAGTTAGATGTAACACCATTAAGGAACAAGAAAAAATTATACGTAATCATTCTACATACCCTTGTGACAGAGGTCTTTCTAAGCATATCAGCATAAACTAAAGAAAAAGACTGATAGATTTGACTAGGTAAATACACAGAACTTTCTCTAATCAAAAATGACTATAATAGAGCAGAGAAGATGGCGGCGTGAGTAGAGCAGTGGAAATCTCCTCCCAAAAACACATAGAGCTATGAAAATATAACAAAAAAAATCTTCCTAAAATAGAGACCACAGGACACAGGACAACATCCAGACCACACCCACACCTGCAAGAACCCAGCCCCTTGCGAAGGGGAGTGCTTTTTGGAAGTCTTAAAGGGGCAGGACAGGTCACTTAGACCAGAGGCAGGGAATCTGGGGATCTCTGGGCACTCTAACCCCCTGGGCAACAGGGAGGACAGAGGCCCCTTACGGAGATAAATAGCCTCCCGGCCACTCCCCCTCCAACGGGGCTCCACCACTTTGGAGGAGCAGCCCCAGCCAGGCCACGCCCACAGCAACAGCAGAGATAAACCCCATAGCAACTGGGCAGGAAGCAGAAGCCCTGTCTGCACACAGCTGCCCAGCACAACCCACTAGAGGTCGCTATTCTCCCAGGTGAGGAAGGCCACAAACCAACAAGAGGGAAGCTCTTCCAGCGGTAACTTGTACCAGCTCTGCACACTATCTCTATCACCATGAAAAGACAAAACTAGAGGCAGACAAAGATCACAGAGACAACACCTGAGAAGGAGACAGACCTAACCAGTCCTCCTGAAAAAGAATTCAAAATAAAAATCATGAACATGCTGACAGAGATGCAGAGTAAAATGCAAGAGCAATGGGATGAGATGCAAAGAAAAATGCAAGAGCAGTGGGATGAAGTCCGGAGGGAGATCACAGATGTCAGAAAGATCACAGAAGTGAAACAATCCCTGGAAGGGTTTATAAGCAGAATGGATAAGATGCAAGAGGCCACTGAAGGAATAGAAGCCAGAAAACAGGAACGTATAGAAGCTGACACAGAGAGAGATAAAAGGATCTCCAAGAATGAAACAACACTAAGAGAACTATGTGACCAAGCCAAAAGGAATAATATTCGTATTATAGGGATACCAGAAGAAGAAGAAAGAGGAAAAGGGAAAGTCTCTCTGAAGAAATAATTGCTGAAAACTTCCCCAAACTGGGGGAGGAAATAATCGAACAGACCATGGAATTACACAGAACCCCAAAGAGAAAGGATCCAAGGAGAAGAAACACCAAGACACATAGTAATTAAAATGGCAAGGATCAAGGACAAGGAAAGTTTTAAAGGCAGCTAGAGAGAAAAAGGTCACCTATAAAGGAAAACTCATCAGGCTAACATCAGACTTCTCAACAGAAACCCTACAGGCCAGAAGAGAATGGCATGATATACTTAATGCAATGAAACAGAAGGGCCTTGAACCAAGGATACTGTATCCAGCACGACTATCATTTAAATATGATGGTGGGATTAAACAATTCCCAGACAAGCAAAAGCTGAGGGAATTTGCTTCCCACAAACCACCTCTACAGGGCATCCTACAGGGACTGCTCTAGATGGGAGCACCCCTAAAAAGAGCACAGAACAAAACACACAACATATGAAGAATGGAGGAGGAGGAATAAGAAGGGAGAGAAGAAAAGAATCTCCAGACAGTGTATATAACAGCTCAATAAGCGAGCTAAGTTAGGCAGTAAGATACTAAAGAAGCTAACCTTGAACCTTTGGTAACCACGAATCTAAAGCCTGCAATGGCAATAAGTACATATCTTTCAATAGTCACCCTAAATGTAAATGGACTTAATGCACCAATCAAAAGACATAGAGTAATAGAATGGATAAAAAAGCAAGACCCATCTATATGCTGCTTACAAGAAACTCACCTTAAACCCAAAGATAAGCATAGACTAAAAGTCAAGGGATGGAAAAACATATTTCAGGCAAACAACAGTGAGAAGAAAGCAGGGGTTGCAGTACTAATATCAGACAAAATAGACTTCAAAACAAAGAAAGTAACAAGAGATAAAGAAGGCCACTACATAATGATAAAGGGCTCAGTCCAACAAGAGGATATAACCATTCTAAATATATATGCACCCAATACAGGAGCACCAGCATATGTGAAGCAAATACTAACAGAACTAAAGAGGGAAATAGACTGCAATGCATTCATTGTAGGAGACTTCAACACACCACTCACCCCAAAGGATAGATCCACCGGGCAGAAAATAAGTAAAGACACACAGGCACTGAACAACACACTAGAACAGATGGACCTAATAGACATCTATAGAACTTTACATCCAAAAGCAACAGGATATACATTCTTCTCAAGTGCACATGGAACATTCTCCAGAATAGACCACATACTAGCTCACAAAAAGAGCCTCAGTAAATTCCACAATATTGAAATTCTACCAACCAATTTTTCAGACCACAAAGGTATGAAAGTAGAAATAAATTCTACAAAGAAAACAAAAAGGCTCACAAACACATGGAGGCTTAACAACATGCTACTAAATAATCAATGGATCAATGAACAAATCAAAATAGAGATCAAGGAATATATAGAAACAAATGACAACAACAACACTAAGCCCCAACTTCTGTGGGATGCAGCGAAAGCAGTCTTAAGAGGAAAGTATATAGCAATCCAGGCACACTTGAAGAAGGAAGAACAATCCCAAATGAATAGTCTAACATCACAATTATTAAAACTGGAAAAAGAAGAACAAATGAGGCCTAAAGTCAGCAGAAGGAGGGACATAATAAAGATCAGAGAAGAAATAAACAAAATTGAGAAGAATAAAACAATAGCAAAAATCAACGAAACCAAGAGCTGGTTCTTTGAGAAAATAAACAAAATAGATAAGCCTCTAGCCCAACTTATTAAGAGAAAAAGAGAGTCAACACAAATCAACATAATCAGAAATGAGAATGGAAAAATCACGACAGACTCCACAGAAATACAAAGAATTATTAAAGACTACTATGAAAACCTATATGCCAACAAGCTGGAAAACCTAGAAGAAATGGACAACTTCCTAGAAAAATACAACCTCCCAAGACTGACCAAGGAAGAAACACAAAAGTTAAACAAACCAATTACAAGCAAAGAAATTGAAACAGTAATCAAAAAACTACCCAAGAACAAAACCCCGGGGCCGGACGGATTTACCTCGGAATTTTATCAGACACACAGAGAAGACATAATACCCATTCTCCTTAAAGTGTTCCACAAAATAGAAGAAGAGGGAATACTCCCAAACTCATTCTATGAAGCCAACATCACCCTAATACCAAAACCAGGAAAAGACCCCACCAAAAAAGAAAATTACAGACCAATATCCCTGATGAATGTAGATGCAAAAATACTCAATAAAATATTAGCAAACAGAATTCAACAGTATATCAAAAGGATCATACACCATGACCAAGTGGGGTTCATCCCAGGGATGCAAGGATGGTACAACATTCGAAAATCCATCAACATCATCCACCACATCAACAAAAAGAAAGACAAAAACCACATGATCATCTCCATAGATGCTGAAAAAGCATTTGACAAAATTCAACATCCATTCATGATAAAAACTCTCAGCAAAATGGGAATAGAGGGCAAGTACCTCAACATAATAAAGGCCATATATGATAA